AATGATTTTAAAAAGCTATAATTAACATTTTTTGAGGAAGAGTCACCATGTGCCAGGTTCTGTAGGAATTACTACTGAGGATCTAGGTTAGGTCATACAACCACTGTTTCAGACCAGTCTTACGAATCTGTCAGAGTGTAAGACAGGGATTGGTCAGAAAAGTGAAGGGCAGAAAGCTGCAAATGTCAGAATTGGAGAATGCAAGGAGCTTCCCTGTGGCATTCCTTTGGAGCAGAGCACAGTTCAGGCTAACAGAAGAAGGGACTGCTTAGGGCAGAAGAGAGCACGTGCCAAATGCAATGGGGTATCCTGTATTGGATCTTGCAACAGAAAAAGGACATTAGGGAAATATGAAAAAGTCTGGGGTTTAATTAATAGTAATGTACCAATGTTGGCTTCTTGGGAGTGATAAAGTTACCACAGTAATATGAGATGCAGGTAAGGAATGGACAGGAACTCTCTGTACCATCTTGTAACTTTTCTGTAAATCTGAAATTATTCTAAAATAAAAAGGTTATTTAAATATCTTTAGGGAAAAAAGAGTAAATTCCCATACACTTTAAGGACTACACAACTTTCCCTTGTTGGAAAGGTTTTTTGGGCATAACAGGACACTGTCGCTCGTGAATACCAGGATATGGAAAAATAGCATGTCCCCTCTACTGGTTGATCAAGGACACCCAGACAGCCATCAATTAATGTGGGATCCAGAGTCAGAAAAAGCTTTTAAAAATCTCAAGAGGGCCTTGCTCAGTGCCCCAGCTTTAAGTCTTCCTACCATGAGGGATGTGACAGAAAGGGAATGGCCTTGGGTGACCTAACCCAGGCCCAGAGACCAGCTCAACAGCCAGTGGGATATTTAAGCAAAGAGCTGGATCTGGTGGCTTATGGCTGGCCGGCATGCCTTAGGGGCAGCTGTGACTATGAAACTAACTCTGGGACAGGAAGAAACTAACTCTAGGACAGGAAAAATGTGAAGAATACCCCGTTCTCCCATTCACAAATCCCCTGAGACATACAGCAAGTAGGAAGTTATCCTGGGAAAGACTGGCAAATGGACTTCACACATGTCTAAAATGCATGGGTACAGGTACCTCCTGCTTTGGGTAGATACCTTAATGCCCTGGGTTGAGGCCTTCCCCTGTAAAACCGAAAAAGCCTCAGAAGTGATAAAGGCACTGGTAAATCCCTTGGTCTGAAGCCCCCTAGTCCCTTTGAGTGTTATCAGAGGGAGCATCCAAGGTTCTGGAATCATTTCATCCCTCTTGCAAGGAGTTTCCCAACTCCCAGCCCCAAAATACCCAACCTCTCCCATTTTACCCTGGGGACCAAGGCTTGTTAGAGCCAGCCTGGGAGGGACCGAATACGGTGATTTTAGCCACTCCAACAGCAAAGTGCCTGAATTTGAAGCCTGAATCCACCATTCCAGAGTCAAACCCTGGTCCCCCAATGGGCCTAACAACAAGGAACCAAAATCCCTCTGTGAACCCAGAGAGGACCTCAAACTAGTCTTGAAGGGACAAGACACAGATCCTTATATCCCATCAAAATCATAATCCTTATTGCATTCCTTTCACCTGCCCTCTCCTCACAGTATGTGGGAAGTCCACCAAAACATCCCCTACCCCTCGTCAGACCCCTGGCTATACTCGATCTTGCATTGTGCTTTGGGCCTTGCCTCCTAAATGCCCTAACCCGCTTTATATCTTCCAGACTAAAGGTCATCAAATTCCAAATGGTGGTTCAGATGGAGCTTCATATGAAGGTCAAACCAGATATCTACAAGGGACCCCTTGATAGATCAGGATGAGAGGAACCCTGACTGCCACTCCATCCAACCCTCTTGACCAATAGGAAGTTGCTACAATCAGTCATAGCCCTTTTTCCCTAATGGCAATTAAGGATACGTCTTCAGAGGGGGGAATAATGAAGGATAGTTAGAAGGCAGGCAAACAGGGACAAGGGGTCCCCGCCCAAAGATGAAACCACCCTTAAAAGGATTTCACACCACCCTGGAAGAAGCCCTCCACCCTTTCCCAGGATAGGTGACAAAAACCTGATTGGAGGACAGGCGCAGGGAGGGTTAATCAGATTAAAACAGCCTGTCAACAAGCCCTAAAACCCTCTAGACTTAGAAACTCCTGTGGCCACCCTGTTGGGTCCCCTCCCTCCTCAGGAGCTTTGTACTATCACTGCTACCGCTCAATGAACCTTGCTTTGCTGCCCACCAAAAAAAAAAAAAAAAAGAGCATTTGTGACATGTTTACAAACATTCTTCAGAATAGTAACATTTTTTTATTTACATTTTTTTAAAAAGATTTTCTTTCTAAGCAATCTCTACACCCAACGTGGGGCTTGAATTTACAATCCCAAGATCAAGAGTCGTACCTTCCCCTGACTGAGCCAGCTAGACGTCCCAGAACAGTACCATTTAAATGGAAATGGCAAGGGCAGCATTTTTGTGGCTGGTCATATTTCTTGGCAGACAAAATTATTCATAATGACAATCACAATGACTAACATTATGGAGCAGTTACAATATCCAGCCTTCGTCCAACAGATGTTATACAAATGCCCACATGTCATCTTCAAGACAACACTATTATTATCCGAACTTATAGATTAGAAAAGCTCTTAGAATAGAGCCTAGAATCTGGTAGTCAAAAATTAGGGTGTTGTTTTTTTTTTAATTTCTATTTTTATTATAGAAGCTAAGAAACTGGGCCAGCCTGACAGCAACAGAGTAACAATTTCAAACCAAACCCTAAAAGACTTCCAATTCCAGCCCTGCCATTTACTAATTCTATGGGTTGGGCAAGTTTGAAAAACAAAAGAAAGCTAATATCAGGGAGTGGATTTAAAAGTTTGTTGAGAAGGGCGACCAGGTGACTCAGTAGGTTAAGCCTCTGACTCTTGATTTCAGCTCAGGTCATGATCTCAGGGTTGTGAGACTGAATCCCGAGTCGGGCTTTGTGCTGGGCATGGAGCCTGCTTAAATTTTTTTTTTTTTAAAGATTTTATTTATTCACCCATTTGAGAGAGAGAGAATGAGAGACAGAGAGCACGAGAGGGAAGAGGGTCAGAGGGAGAAGCAGACTTCCCGCTGAGCAGGGAGCCCGATGTGGGACTCGATCCCGGGACTTCAGGATCATGACCTGAGCCGAAGGCAGTCGCTTAACCAACTGAGCCACCCAGGTGCCCTGGAGCCTGCTTAAGAGTCCCCTCTCCCTCCGCTCCACCCCCAGATCTAATTAATAAAAAGTTTATTGAGAAATATCAAGTGTTGGTGAGGATGTGGACAAAAGGGATCCCTGTGCACTGTAGGTGGGAATATAAATTGGTACAGCCACTATTGAAAACAATACAGAGGTTCCTCGAAAAATTTAAAATGGAACTACCATATGATCTAGTGATTCCACTCTTGGGTGTTTATCCAAAGAGAATAAAAACACTAATTTGAAAAGATGTATATACCCCTATACTTACTGCAGTATTATCAACAATAGTCAAGATAAGGAAGAAACCATTGATAGATGAATGGATAAAGAACTAATATATATACACAACGGAATATTAAACAGCAATAAAAAAAGAATGAAACCTTGCCATTTGCAGCAACATGAATACACCCAGAGGGTATTGTGCTAAGTGAAATAAGTCAGAGAAAGACAAATACCAAAAGATTTTGTTTATTTGTGGAAGCTGAAAAACAAAACAAATGAGCAAACAGAAACACACTCATAAATACAGAGAATAAACTAGTGGTCGCCAGAGGGGAGGTGGGTAGAGGGAGAGGCAAAATAGGTGAAGGGGATTGAGAGGAATAAACTTCCAGTTATAAAATAGTCATGGGAATGAAAAGTAGAGCATAGGGAATACTGTCAATAAGATTGTAATAACTTTATATGGTGACAGATGGTAACCACACTTATTGTGACAAGCATTTATAATGTATATAATTGTTGAATCACTATGTCATATACCTGAAACTAATATAATATTATATGTCAACTATACTTCCAAATTTTTTTTTAAGATTTTATTTATTTGACAGAGAGACACGGCGAGAGAGGGAACACAAGCAGGGGGAGTGGGAGAGGGGGAAGCAGGCTTCCCGCCGAGCAGGGAGCCCGATGCGGGGCTCGATCCCAGGACCCTGGGATCATGACTTGAGCTGAAGGCAGACACGTAACGACTGAGCCACCCAGGCGCCCTCCAAATATTTTTAATGTAAAAAATTTTTTTAAATGAAAATTTGTTGAAAATTGTATCATTCAAGTTTAAAAGCAGACAATTGTTTATTATGTGTTTCAAAATTCTTTTTTTTAATGATTTTTTATTTGAGAGAGAGAGAGAGAGCACAAGTGGGGGGAGGAACGGAAGGAGAGGGAAAAGGAGACTCCTCACTGAGCAGGGAGCCCGACGTGGGGCTCCGTCCCCGGATTCTGGGATCATGACCTGAGTCGAAGCAGCAGAGTGTTGTACTGGGGTCAACAAAAAAATTCCACATATACCTTTCTTAAGACTCCTTGGATACACCTCCAAATACAAGAACCAAATAAGAGCAAATGGAGACAGTAAGGGAAACTGTTAGACCCTATTAAGCATAGGAGCCACTAGGAAATGAATGTTTCCAAATCTCTTTAGGTATCAAATGACTGCAGCTCACTGGATCAGCAGATTCCCATGAGAAGCATTTCCTTCAGAGGGGAAGATGGAAGAGGCAAATGATGAAAACAGCCTTATGATGACTGATGCCCAGGGTGAAAATGTCAGCAGACAGAGGGGAAAGGCTGGTAGTCAGCAGCCTTTGCTCATGCACATTCAGTTCAACCTCACTGCCCTTTATTCAACATTTTCTTAGTGTCAGGGATGATGCTAAACTCTGGGAAAGATACAAAGGTGAAAAAAATAAAACAACACCTAACTTCAGCAAGTTTACAGCTAGTGGTGTATTTTACCAGAAGGAAATACAGCATATACGAGGCACAATGGAATACCTTGAGTCTGAATCTTCACTTATTCCTCACTCTGCACCTGGCCCAAGTTGCAGACTCTCTTCTCAGACCTCCATAAGAATAATGTAATTCACATTTGCCTGGGAAGATGGTTGTGAATCCTGAAAATGAGGGAAAGTACAGAAAGTAAACAGGAGTCCCATCATAAATCCGTATCGTTTTCCTTTTTTTTACCCCAACAAAAAGAGAAATAAATCCCTTACACCCCCAGTCAACCAACTCTTCATTTTAAACTAGACCTTGGTCTCAACTGACTAGAAAGGGAGGTCACAGAAGAAATGTTAAGAATTTCTGGCTTCAAAGATTGCAGGAGCCCAGGTTCAAAAAGTATAAAGACTACTGAGCTGGGGTAGGGGTGGGGTGGAAGTTCAAGAATGGACTTTAGAACCTTACCACATTATTTTTTTTTAAAGATTTTATTTATTTATTTGACAGAGAGAGATCACAAGTAGGCAGACAGGCAGGCAAAAGGAGACGGAGAAGCAGGCTCCCTGCTGAGCAGGGAGCCTGATGCGGGGCTCAATCCCAGGACTCTGGGATCATGACCTGAGCTGAAGGCAGATGCTTAACCAACTGAGCCACCCAGGCGCCCCACCTTACCACATTATTGTGTTACCCACCTGCCCCCAACCTATCCCCAAAAATAGGGGCGCAGAGATCCAAAACATACATTGCTGACACAAAGCTGCTTAGAACCTAAAAGTTGAAACCTTTTCTAATCTATCTGCCCAAATATGGAGTCACTTCTAATTTGCACAAGAAATATGCTAGCAGCAGCCTCGACCTTCCCCACCCCACATACCTGCCTAAAATGTGATGCCCTTGCACTTCTGGGCCCAAAACAGGATAAGAAAACAATAAAACCCTATGCCTGGAGTCATGTAATTTATTCATTTATTCAACAAATATTTATTCAGCCCCTACTGTGTGCTCTGGAACATTTTCTCCTCCCTGTGTCCCCTGGGCTGCCTCTAATCTCTCTATTCTACCCTTGCTGATCCCAAAAACCTCTAGTTTATAATCTGTTTACTGTTTCTTAGCCAATATCTCACCTCCTGACATGCAGGTTAGCCATCCTTTTCTTCCATAATAGAATATTGTTCTATCCTCTCTGGCCCCCAGGCTTTACCTCTTTCTTCACGGCTTAATTCAAAGCCCTTAAGCCCTTCATTATTCAGTTCCTCTTGCTTCTCTGCCCAGCTATCCTATCACCAATACCTGTTCTCAACTCATCACACCATAGCCCCTGAACAGAGCAAATGGCGCTGAAAGAGTGGAACTCATTTGCCTGTGGTGATCCAAATTGTGAGCAATCCAATTCAACAAATTCTGTAAAAATAGTAACACTAATAGCTAGCACTTGAGACTGAGATTAGGGACAGGTTACACTCATTAATAATGACAAAGTCCAAGGGCTGACCATGGGACTCAGTACATGAGGTGGGATGGGGCAAGGTCATTGGAGGAGGGGAATCTAAAGAAAGCTAAGACCAGATAATAAAAACAAAACCTATGAGGATAAAACAATCACCAAGAAGTATGGCAGATGTAGTGCAGGAGAGGGATCTGGAGCTAAAATCTTAAGAAACAAGTGGGTATGTGAAAAGGAGGCAATAGAAGATTATAGGTCTGTTGACTGGAGATTGAGAGTTGGTTAGGAGCACTGAGGGGTGGAGGGAATGTTCTGGAAGCAGTAATAAGGATGACCCCCTGTCTTAGTCCATTCAGGCTGCTATAACAAAACTACGATTGACTAGGTGGCTTATAAACAACATTTATTTCGGGGCCCCTGGGTGGCTCAGTTGGTTAAGCGACTGCCTTCAGCTTGGGTCATGATCCCAGGGTCCTGGGATCAAGCCCTGCACCGGACTCCCTGCTCGGTGGGAAGCCTGCTTCTCCCTCTCCCACTCCCACTCCCCCTGCTTGTGTTCCCTCTCTCGCCGTGTCTCTGTCTGTCAAATAAATAAATAAAAATAAATAAACAACATTTATTTCTCCCTGAAAGTCCAAGATCAGATAAGAACTAGCCTCCTGGTTCATAAATGGCTGTCTTATCCTGCATCCTTACGAAGCAGAAAGGGCAAGGGAGCTCTCTGGGGTCTCTTTTATAAGGGTACTAATCCTATTCATAAGGGCTTTACTCTCATGACCTAATCAGTTCCCAAATGCCCCAATTCCTAATAACATCGCATTGGGGGTTTGTTTTCAACATATGAATTTGGGGGGATCCACAAACATTCGGTATGCAGTACCCACCCTGCTTGTGGGCTCATGATATGAGGAGCTTGAGAGAGAAAATGGCCCCCATCAGCAAAGGAACCAGTGTCTTTGGGAGAGCCAGGTCACCCCTATATCAAGAAGTTGAAGCCAACATTCAAGAAGTGAGGTAGAGAGGGGATGCTGTGAAGTCACTGTGGAAGGGTTTCATAAGTTGGAGAATGGTGAGACGTAGGGCCAGGATAGGGGCATATGAGGCCATGTGGAGATCAGAGTCCAAGAATGGGAGATGACCTGGCAGACCAGGGCTGACAGAAATGGGAGGCATGATGGGATTAGCACAGCCCCCCCCAGGGCTGATAGCAGTGGCACAGTTGTGGGTGTTGGGGACCAGGAAGTGAGGGTTTGCCAGGAACACTCAGAGTTCTTGCCCATTGCAAATTCATAATCTGTTAGGGAAGACTCATACATACTGACAGAAAAATGCACCCCAGATTACCTATGGAATTCAGACTATGGAGGATGCCTATCGGAGGGGCAACCAACTCAGACAGGGAAGGTCAAGGAAAACTTGAGAGAGACAGAGAGAGAATGGAAAGACAATTCCATAAAACTACTGGCACCCCAGAAAATAACTGAGACACTTCTCCTATGGCAATGAGTGTACTACACTTGATCTTAGCCAAAAGACCAAGAAGTGGTGCAATGAGACTTTGCATAAATGGACCATAAGTTTAAAGAGTAGTGCAATATTTTATATTCATATTATCTGAATAGTCTTTGATCTTGCCAGAGTGAAATTTATTGCTTTTGGCCAGAGAACTTAGCAAGGTTATACAGCAAAGAGTGGGTATAATATTATCTTTAATACAAGTTGTAAAACTCTAAATAGATGGAAGTTAGATTTTTTCTGAGGGTAAAAAGTAGGAAACATTTCCAAAAATAAAAGTCTAATACATTCATTCCTATCTCTCTGTTACTGGAGATGTGTGAAATTACCTCCAGTATTTGAGGTGATGGATACAGGGAAAAAAATAAATTGACGGAACCTTCCCTGACTCCCATATTTAAATTAGCCATACTCCTTTTTTTTTTTAAAGATTTTATTTATTTATTTGACAGAGAGAGACACAGCGAGAGAGGGAATACAAGCAGTGGGAGTGGGAGAGGGAGAAGCAGGCTTCCCGCCGAGCAGGGAGCCCGATGGAGGGCTCGATCCCAGGACCTGGAATCATGACCTGAGCCTAAGGCAGACACTTAACGACTGAGCCACCCAGGCGTCCCTAGCCATATTCCTTTTATGTCAACATTTGTTGAGCGCTCAAATGTATCTTATGTAATCCTCGTAACAAACTGAAAGATATTAATTTCCATTTTACTGACAAAAAATCTAATGCTTAGAAAGATAAAATAACTTGCCAACATCTCACAGGGAACAGTTAAAGCAAATTCACAATTCTGTTAAAACAACTGCCTCTTCCCTTACATCGTGATACAGTCACATTTTCAAGAATTTTTAATTGCAAAAAGAAAAAAAAAGCTATTTGTGTTGTCCACACTAGTCACTAATTACTCTTTCAGTAGTTTCAAGGAAGAATTCTAACTGATTAGACCAGAGAAGCTTTTTACATAAAATTGAAACTATAACGGGGAAGAATCTCCCTCTCAGGAATTCTGCTGATTACAGGCTAGTTTAGCAAAGCGAAGTCTGGTTGTGTTTAGTAGAAAAAATATACTGAGGACAGGTTGACAAGTTTGGTCAGCCAGAAAACCCTAATGGGGACACTCATTATCACATCATAACTAGAGAGCTGCTGTTGAAAATCAGCTTAGTCTGCATAGCATCCTCATTAATAATAAATAAATAAATAAATAAATAAATAAATAAATAAGGCATCAGTCAACCCATGGAGATGGACTACTATTCAAATGTAGAGTATTTACTCATCTTAAATCTATAAGAACATGTTTTATAAACACAAACAAGTTCAATCAGGGGTGATAAGAAAACCATGTATCAATCTCCATAAAAATTTATGGAATTCAGATAAAAAACCTACAGAGCCCTAATGCAGATCAGATGAACCCCAGGATTTTGTGAGACACAGTTTAAATACCTAAATCAATTAAAAATTATTTACTAGTATTCTTTTGCATGGCTGTGCTATCTATTACTTAAAACAATCCTCTGTATGTGGGGCATTTGGTTAGTTCTATTTTTCTCTATTGAAAATATACTGTAATTAATACCCTCGTACAGGGGCACCTGGGTGGCTCAATTGGTTAAGCATCTGCCTTTGGCTCAGGTCGTGATCCTGGAGTCCTGAGATCTAGCCCCCCCGTTGCGCTCCCTGCTCAGCAGAGGGTCTGTTCCTCCCTCTCCCTCTGCTACTCACCCCCACTCCTGCCCCCGCTCACTTTCTCTCTCTCTCAAATAAATAAAATCTTAAAAAAATACCCTGTACATATATTTTGGCACTTAGAATAAATTCCTAGAAATGCTGGGTCAAACCATAAAGACATATTTTTGAACCTTTTGATAGATAAATGCCAAAATGCCTTCCACATATTTAAATACTGGGTTGAGATTTCTAGCTCAATGAAAGGAAGGAAAGGAAGAGAGATTAGCTTCAGAATCCTGGATTTTAGCCCTAGGTTCACCATTTGTTAGCTATGTGATCTTGGGCAGGTTACTTAACCCTTCAGTTTCTCTGTTTTTTTACCTAATAATTGGGTATAATCAGTACTTACCTCATAAAGTTGCTGTTAAGAATTAAATGAATAAATGTTTGTAAAGCTCTTAAAACAGAGCCTAGCTCATAGAAGCCTTACATAAATGTTCACTAATTCCTGGTTCTTAGACTTTGGGACTTCAAAAACCAAT